CAGTAACTATTTTCCTTCATTAACTATTTTCAGACAATAACTATTTTCAGTCATTAGGCTTATTCAGTGCTTAATAGTAATTATTCTGCTTCAGTAACTATTTTTTTTTTTGAATGCTTCAGGGTTTAATTAATGCTGTAAGGGGATTGTTGCATGAGTATGAACACAAAATGTGTGCTATGCACATCCTTGCAAATTGGTCAAAAGAGTTGAGAGGATTGGAGAGTAGAAAATACTTTCTGGAGATGTGCAAGAGCATCTAGTATTTCAGAATTGAATGAACAACTTGATATGCTAAACAAGCTTGGGGAGGGCATATGTGAAAGCTTACTCCACTACAGAAAAGAAACCTGGTGCAGAGCTTATTTCAATTGTGATAAGAAGTGTGATATTATTGACAACAATATGTGTGAAACTTTCAATTCCTGAATTTTGGCTAAGAGACACAAGACAATCATCATAATGTTAGAGGAAATCAGAATTAAGCTGATGATTAGGATAGGTAAGATGATGGAGTTATGTGAGACATGGATATGTGATATCTCCCCAATAGCAATGAAGGTTTACCAGGATACTTTAGCAAAGTCTATGAAGTATACTCCAAGATGGAACGGTGAAACATGCTATGAGATTGAAGATCCTAAATACAAGCATGTGGTATCCTTAGTGAATATGACTGTAGTTGCAGAGCTTGGTAGTTAAAAGGTATTCCCTGTTGTCATGCAATTGCTAACATACATTTCAAGGACATGGAACCTATTCACCATATTGCACATTGATATCGTAAGTCCACTTACTTGAAGGCTTATTCAACTTTTATCCAGCCTGTGCCGTGTATGAAATAGTGGCCATCTTCAGGCCACCTCCCTATTGAACCTCCCCCTATTAGAAAGATGCCCGACAGACCAAAAAAAATAGGAAAAAAGAAGAAACTGAACATCCAAAATCTATAAAGCTTTCAAGGAGAGATATGGAGATGACTTCCATCAGTGGTGTGTGTGGACACAACAAGAGGGGATGCCCCAGTAAAAAAACTGTTGCTGGAAATGCTGTACCAACTAGTACACCTTCATTTGCTGCTGGAAGGGGTAGAGGAATAGGAAGAGGAAGAGAAACTAGTACAACCACCACATCTAGTTCACAATCAGCAAGAGGTAGAGGAGTTTCTGCAAGAGGTAGAGGCAGTGAAATTGGGTTGTTTCAAGCAAGGAATGGGTTCACTTTTTTTACTGTAAGTGAACTAATTAAAGCTATAATTAGTGTATCTTATTTATATTGAATGTGATGTTGTAACTAAGTATACTGTACTTTGGCAGAATGGAGGACAAAATCCAAGGGTCATTAGCACCTGAACTAAGCCTAAGAGGTCTACAGCTTCAGGGGAGGAATGTGCTTACCAACCAAGAAGTGTCGGCTTGAGGTGGATGGGCAAAAAAGCCATAAGCACAAGACAACTTCAAAGAGCTGCAACATCACAACACAAACTTAGTCAAGCTAGTTCATAATCTCAACCAACGAAGAAGCAGAAAAAATGAAGACTGTGGTTGTAGTTTAAGCTTTATGTTTTGTTAAGTGTTGCTATGGACAATAATGTATTCTGTTTTGTAAAGTGTTTCTATGGACAACCAAGTGCTATTTTTTGTTTTGTAAAGTGTTGCTATGGACAACCAAGTGCTATGTTTTGTAAAGTGTTGCTATGGTCAACCAAGTGCTATATTTTGTACAGTGTTGCTAATCCGTTCTAGTGTCTACTAATGAACACCTATTTTGTGGAATGAAGTATATTTAGGTCTTTTTTTTATACTGGTATACTTTGGTTATACAAAAGCTGCATTATCCATGTTTGGTTACCAAAGCTAAATAGGAACATAACACAAGAGAAGACCAACAACTTCAATGAGCTAAATAGGAATATGACACAAGAGCTTGAATACAACAACAACTTCAACAACTTCAATCAGCCAAATACATGAACACCCGAGACAGGGGAATATCATTACACTATATAGTAGTGCTCGGAACTACCAAATACAATGGCCTTAATGATGATTAATCCTAAAATCAGAAAAATAAGTCTCCTCTGATTCCTCTGTTTTTTGTATTCCTACAAATGCCATTCAAACTGCTTCTCCTTCCTAAGCAAACCCAAAATCACTTGCTTCAAGTGTTCATGAGTCGGGTGATCAAACCATACGAAATACTTACACCCAGTTTTCTTATCTTTCTGCAAATTCATAAACAATTTGAAATGAAGCTTATAAAATCTTGAAATAACGATTATAACAATCTAAGATTACCTCATTATTTTTACAGTTGTAGAATCGACGACCATGGTTGTATGTACTCCATGAAATTACTAGTTCAGTTGCATCTCCACATCGACAAAATGGACCCGAATTCTCCATTCAATATGAACCCTAATACGAGAATTGACTGACGAATAATTATCTTACCTTGTGTATTGTACTTTAATTGAACAAATATAACGAGTTTCAAAATATTAGATGTGAAAGATGAAGATGGGGGGGTTGAGTTTTTCTGAAATTGGTTCCTTTTAATATGAAAAGATGAAAATGGTTGCTTTTAATAAGAAGAAGATGAAGAAGTGGGCGTTAGGGTTAGGAAAATGGGCACAATTCCAGTAATTAGCCGTTGTAATTAGTCAGGTGAGGCAGAAATAACTTTTCACACGCCGCATTGGTCGTGTTTCACACTTCCGAGAGGCTGGTCAAAAGTAGCATGTAATTGACATACATTTGAAAGGTTTGGTGTGTAAGTTAAACCCGTGATCAACAGATGTGTAACAGGGATTTGGGTGCAGGTGGATGGGTATACTATGTATTTTGCCTATAAACTATTAATAATTAATCATCATGGTTAAGTGATATGAATTTTAACTTTAATTTACAACTGTTATAATAAATCCTTAATTTAGTGCACAAATCACGCATAAGTACTTTTCTACCGGACATTAGAACAATTTCCGCTATTATTCTACATCTATTTTTTCTTTTTTTTTGGAGAGACATAAATCTTGAATTTGTAAGCTCACTATTCAATTCCAACTTTTTATTTGTAATAGCAGTAGGTTATACCGCTCCCTATAAAATAACTTTAAATATAATTTTTGACTATTAAATGGTGCAACTATATATCCAATCTGATTATTCACGAGAATTTTAGCACTAGTATTTAAATATTTGACTGCCAAATTATAATTTCGTTTCAAATCTGATACTCCATGTCGTCTCTTGAAAGCTAACAATTTTAAGGCTTGCTTGAGCAAGATTGTTTAAAAAATTAGCTGTGAGGGATCCCCTTAGAATATGCGCAAAACTTCAAATTAAACTATTATTTTATCATTCTCCTTCACTTTCAATCACGACAATGAAATTAACCTTTGATCCAAGAATTTCGCATACAAGGACAAGGAATTAATATAAGAATAGGATAAAAAGACAGCCCAGTGCACTAAGCTTTCGCTATACGCAGTCCGAAGAAGGGCTGGAGCATAAGAATCTAATGTATGAGAGAAATTAAAAAAACAGTCAGATTTACAAGTGGGCATTCAAAAATAGCCATATTTTCAAAAGTAATCGAAATTTAGTCACTTATCATGCAAAGATAAATCTGAACGAAAACACTGTTCAAAATCCGGAAAATACTCCAGCATAGTATACTCGAATTCCAGCATAAGTATACTAGAACTCCGGTATAATATACTGGAGTTCCTGCATAATTATGCTGGAACTCTAGCATATTATATTGGAGTTTCAGCATAAGTATACCGGATCTCCAGTATAATATACTGGAGTTCCAGCATAATATATTGGTCCAGCATAATATGTTGGAAGTTCATATGCAGGTGCTCCAATGTCCAGTATATTATGTTGGAACTTTCCGCGTGTTGGAGTTCTAGCATAATATACTGGAAGTTCATACACAAGTGCACCGATCTCCAGTATATTATGTCGGAACTTTCCATGTTGTATCAAAATAATGGCTATTTTTCAATGACTTTGCAAACGCTGACTATTTTTGATTGACCAATCCGAAAACTGCCTAGACCGTGCTATTATCCTCAATTTCTGCAAGAGGTTGTTTCCATAGCTCGAACCCGCAAGAGGACTGAAGAACGAGTGAGTCTTGTTTTAGGGTTTATGCCCATTACCGATCATGTGGTCAGTTTCCCCACTTTCACGACCTCCTGATCACATGACAATAACTTTACCAGTTACGCCAATGCTCCCCTTCAATATAAGAATATGGTGAATATAGAAATATACACATTGTTTATTAACTTTTTTTTCCTAGGTCTATATTCAGGAAACCACGAGGAGAAGACTTTCAAGGCTTGATCTATTATACTATTATCCTAGAAAGTCGAGCCTATATATCTTTAAATTCTTTGTATTTAGGCATCTTAATTTCGTCTAATCTCACTTCAAAAGTTCAATTTTCGTATGCTAGCTATATTTTTAACGTTCCATAGATCAAGCTCTCGACACCCTTAGTTCCATGGATTAGCACAATATCATCTTCGAATGGGATACACCGCGAAGATGATATTGTTGACATCCCATATATATATACATATAGTAGATGAGGAAAGGTCTATATACGGGCCCAACATTGTAATCTTAAAATTATTATTTGTCGGTTTTCAATTAATTTTTTGATAAATAAATTGATTCTTGTTATATTCATTTAATCACAGATAAAGAATGATATTGTGGATCACAATTTATGATTAGTTTATTTTAATAATTTACTTAAAATTAAATTATAAATTATAATCTATTTAAGTTGTTCCATTTTTAACATTCATATCAAACGTAAACATCAAATTGAAAATTTTATTTGAATGGTATTATTTTCCCAATGTATTTGAATAATTTACAAGAGAATATATTAAAACTACAAGTGCCATCTATATTAACAACTTTTCTATAATAAGGCTGCGCACGTTAGAGTGCATGTACTAACATACGCCATTAGCCATGGGAAGGGGAAGGCCGAAGAGAATTGTTCCTACGATTGCTGCAATGGGAAGATTTAGTGACGAAGACTCCAATTCAGAAGACTGGTATCAAGTTGGGTGGTGATCATGGCAAAAGTCCAATGGAACAGTGGCTGCCATTGATGACTATGAAGGATGCGGGTAAAACTCCATTGATGAGGATCGAACAAGCTAATATAGTCAATACGGAAGCTCCGATGAACATACAACTCCTAATAAGTGGAAATGGTACAATTGAGACGAATAAGCGAGCAATTACAGAGGAAATGGAAATGAAGGAGAAGCAAGGAAAACAACTCCACTAGCTACTGATGCAGATGATAAAGGTCAGAAACAGTGGACAAACCTATTTGTAGGCTCAACTTATGCAACAAAAGGTATGGATCTGAGCTATATTGCACCTATTACCAAAAATGGCGAGGTTAGAGTAGAACTGTGTAAGGAAGAGATTGAAGTGGAAACTCAGAAATGGAAATTAGCTCTAATTTTGTACGTTGTTGGTGGTAGTCCAACAATAGGTGCAATGGAGAGATACATAGCTTCGGTTTGGAACTTTGTATCCAAACCTAAGGTCTATTTTCATAATGATGGGTACTTCGTGGTTAGATTCAATTCAATAAAGGATCGAGATGAGGTTCTATACTCAGGACCTCATATGTTGAATAACAAACCAATTATTGTCAAAGTGTGGTCGGGTGATTTTGATTTTAACAAAGAGGTACTACAGACCATAGCAGTGTGGGTAAAGTATCCAAATTTGCCACTGAATTATTGGGGTAATAGAGCATTAAGCAGAATAAGTAGTGGATTAGGAGTTCCATTATATGCTGATACCTGTACTACTCAGGTTGATAGGGTCTCATATGCAAGGGTGTTAGTGGAAATGGATGTGACTAAGGAGCTGCCTAAATCAATCAAAGTGACTGATCCTAATGGAAGGGAGTTTGTCCAAGAAGTAGCTTATGATTTGGTGTCTGAGTTCTGTATTAAATGCATGCAGGTTGGTCATCAATGTAGAATGGTGGAACAACCTAAGATGAGGAATAAGAGTACTAAGCAGAAGCAGGAGTGGCAACCAAAGGTGATACCTAAAGCAAAGGAACCAGTTGTGATGGAACAATCACAAGGAAGAGTGATTAGCAATGAAAAGAATGTTAGTTCAAATGCAAGTATATCAGGAATTGAGGAACAAAAGTGGCAAACTGTTATAGGGAAATCAGCAGCAAGAAGTAGAGATAGACAATAAGTGGATGTCCTGAATGTGATAAATGGATTCAATCTACTTGCAGAGTCTAAGATGCAGATAGAACTACCAAGCCAGGTTGGAGAGGGAACTAGTAGACAGCTAGGTGATGCAGGGCAGGAAGGGGCTACTCAAACTCTGTTTATACCAGTATGAAGCTAATCACATGAAACATAAGAGGTTTAAATAAAGCCTTTAGACAGAAGGAGATAAAGTGGTTTCTTAGCAGTAATAAGGTGTATATAATAGCATTATTGGAACACAAAATCAAAAAACAGAAGGCAGATTAAGTCACTAAGAAAATTGCTCCTGGTTGGACATACTTAGATAACTATGATCATAGTAGCAAAAGAAGAATATGGTTATTGTGGGATCCAAGTGAAATAGACTGTACAGAAGTTAGTAAAACTGATCAAACAGTTCATACTACTGTATATGTTAGAAGAATGGAAATGAAGTTCAATTTTACAGTAGTGTATGGGCTGCATAGTGTGGAGAATTGGAAAAGTATGTGGAATGAATTGATAAGGCTACATTCAGTGCAATAAAGGCCCTGGTTGATTATGGGAGACTACAATGCAGTAAGAACTATTAAAGATAGACCTGTGGGTAACCCTGTACAAGAAATGGAGGTTAGAGACGTCATTGAGTTTATGGATAACACTGGATTGGCTGAATTGAAATCAAGTGGTAGAAATTTTACATGGACCAATTGGCACACATATAGCAGGATAGATAGAGCAATTGTTAATGATTGTTGGATGTTGTTAATGCCACAGATGGAGGTGTGGATTATGGATCCTTATTGTTCAGATCACTATCCATTGAGTATAACACTTGATGAAACTGATGAAAAGAGTTCAAAACCTTTTAAATTCCTAAATCATTTATCTGAGCATGAGAACTTTTTTAAGATTGTTGCTGAAGCTTAGGAAAAATCATATGAAAAACACACTATGAGGAATGTTTGGAAGAAACTGAAAAGAGTAAAATAGGCTATGAAAGAACTGAATAAGAATGAGTATCATGCTGTGGGGGATAAAATCAAAGGATGCAAACAAAAGTTAATAGAAACGCGGAACATATGAGGGATCCAGGACAAAGTATGCACCTAGTAGAGGAGGAAAGAGAGGTGAAAGTTCAACTGGACAAATGGATAAGGATAGAGGAGAGCATTATGAAGCAGAAATCAAGAGTAAAATGGCTACAACTAAGAGATACAAACACGACATATTTTTTTGCCAGTATGAAAAGCAGATGTAGTCAAAATAAAATTAGAAGATTACTTAAGAATGATGGTAGTATAGTTAGGATATAGAAGATGAGGTGACATAGTTCTATCAGCACTTGCTAGGAACCTCAGCTAGTGAGTTGCCTGCTGTTAATCCAACAATTATGAAAGATGGTCCTAAAGTGAATAGAGTACAGCAGCTACAACTCATAGCAGAGGTTTCAAAAGAAGAGATATATCAAGCTTTGAAAGGTATTAGTGATAATAAATCCCAGGGGGTGATGGCTTCAATGCCTTATTCTTTAAGAAGGCCTGACCAGTGGTAGGTGATGCTATCACAGATGCAGTTCTGGAGTTCTTTGCAGAATTAAGAATGTTTCACCCTATTAATGTTACAACAGTCACTCTCATTCCTAAGGTGAAAAGCTCTTCCAAGATTGCTGAGTATAGACCTATTTCATGTTGCACCATAATGTACAAAATTATATCAAAGATTCTAACTAGCAGGTTGCAAGAAGTAATGGATGGTTTGGTGGATAAAAGCCAGTCTGCATTTGTCCCTGGTAGACTGATTAATGACAACATAATCCTAAGCCATGAACTAGTAAAGGGATATGGCAGAAAGGGGTATCTCCTAGATGTATGATGAAGATAGATATAAAAAAAGCTTATGACTCTGTAGAGTGGGATTATTTAGAACAAGTGCTAACACAGCTACAAATACCAGTCAGTGGATTATGAAATGTATTACAACAGTTTCTTATTCTATTTTGATCAATGACCAGCCTACAAAACCATTCAAAGCATTACTTCATGTATTGTATACAACAAAATCAAAAGAAATTCTTCGTACAATAAATAAAGAGAATTTTCAAGGGGACTTGCACCCCTAAAAGACTATTTACTACTTCAAACAAAGAAAATCAAAGACACTAAACAAATATTAACATGATATAAATTGTAGTAATTCAATATAGTAGTTTAAATTATATCTTACTACAGCTCGTTTAAAATGATGTTAACTGGTGATAAAATATTAAACATTTGATAGAAGCTATATAAATTATTATAGGGATTAAATTTATTTATTTTTGTTAATTAAGGAGATAAGAGAAATGTTTTTATTTTTCTATAGATTTATCATATGTTTATTTTCATAATGAAACAATATAAAAATTATAAAAAAATAATGTTTAGGATAATTTATTGATAGTTAAAAATTTATCAGGGAAGAATGAGCTCAATTCATGTAGATTAAATTTTCATATCAATTAAGCATATAAGAGATAGCCCCCTAATACAATATGAACAAATCTCATCACTTAAATTAACTTTTGAGATTTAATAAACTATAATTTTTAAAATTACTTTTGAATATGAAATTTTCTAATTTGAAAATCGCCTTCAAATAGTGTGGCTATATGAAAATCTTTTAATTTTAATTTTTAAATTGCTTTAAAACAGTATGGGTAAATACGAAAATCTTATAAATATTTACCAATATATCTTTTTGTTGCACTATCATTTAAAAATTAAGATATACTTTCTCTGTGAAAACTTCTAGTTGACAAAATCAAAATTAATAATTTTACCAAATAAGAAAAATGAACGTTATAAATAATTATTTGCATGCAATATTATCAGTAAAAATAATCTAATCAATATGGAGTAACATTTAAATGAATATTGTGATTATGGAATTATAAGTCTCACGTGTACCAATGATAGTTTATATTTAAGAATAGCAGACAATGTAAAAGTTTTTCTTGAAATAATATATATATATATATATATATATATATATCGAGTCAATAATAGTGTTCAAGTGACTCAAATGTCGATCTAGTAAACTATACTCCAAATTGAATATTTTGTCCAAAACGACCTTAGATAAACAATTTCAACGGCAAAGAAACAAACACCAAATCTTTACTTTTATTATAAGTCTTCAAATGTTACACATAAAGAAACAACTAACCCTACATACACCAACATCATATATTCTCATTTTTTCCTTCATTAAAAAAAGATACGGATCTAAGACGAGTTCTCTAAACATAATTCAACTATATAGAAATACAAAAAAAAATATGAAAATATATATTTGTATTTAATAAGTTCACGCTCATTCTGAAAAAACGAATCTTATATTTTTTTGAAAGAAGTAAGCTTCTTAACTTTCTCCCAAGGCTTATCCCAAACAACAGCCAAATATTTATGAACAGAACCGCCGTCCTTGGCGTTGATAACAAGTCGATAATTTGTGCCGGCAACGACTTGAGTTTCTCCTTTCGCGATACTTTGAAATTCCAATTTTGTCCCTGCCGCTTTGTTTTGCTCATTCACCGCAAACTGCCCAATCGCCACCACATCAGGGTCATTTACGTCAGTTAAAGGCTTCCAACCACCTGCTGCGCCGCCCAACGCGGTGGAGATTTGGAAGAAAAAGGAAGAAATTAACAAGATTGAGAGAGTCACGGAGAAAATAGAGGTCAATTTGATGGTCATTTTTTATTTTTTGTTTTTTGTATTGTGAGGATTTTGAGAATGAAAAAGCTGAGAAAAATGGTTATTTTTAAAAGTGGTTAAAGATTTTAGTGGGTGCACTTATTTAAAGGAATTAGGTGGTAGGTACGTGAGGAACCGACAGTTGTCATGTGACTTGAATTCCAATATTTGCAGTTGCACTTTCACGAAAGTTCTAAATTGGTGTTATGGGCAAGGGGCGGAACTAGGTGGACAGAAGATGTTTAGCCGAATCGTGTGTATATGTATATTTAATTACTTGCTTCTATCACTGGTTATGAGAAGTGTGACTCTCAAAACTTGCCACAAATAATATTTAGTAACGGTAGTTATATTGGTAAAAAATAAATATTACACGTAAAATATATTAGATGACAAAGCAAGTTACGTAGAGTAATGAAGAAGCGACAGATGCATGAGAGTTTAGTAAGAGGCACGGAATAAAGAGGTACGGGATAAAACACCTACGAGATGATTAGTAGCAAGAGCTCTGATCTAATTGAGGAGTTGAAGAGACACGGACAAAATGAATCAGGGCTGAATAAAGGGTAGATTCATAAATCTTCAATCAATGAGTTAAACGTTACAGAATCTTCACGCAATAGTTACGATTACCTATTGTAACGTTTCATTAATGATATAAATATTCATTAATGCTCAATCATAAAGAAGAGTAGAGGTTATATTAAGAAATTCCCTATAAAAGGGAATAAGATCCCATTTGTATTGACACGTTCGAACCATTGCTGAAATATACTTTACATTCTTGTGCTCTTACTATCTTCCTATTTTTAAAGTCTTATTTCCATTATTGTTTTAGTTAATTCTCTTGATTATCAGAAGTCCGAGTACTTCTTAAAATAACAATGACTAAGAATCCGATTCTTTGGTTAAACAAATTGGTTTCGTTACCGGGAATCTAATAATTCTTTTCTGCATTCCTGAATTATCTTTACTGAATCATGTCGAACACCAACTACAACAACCAACACGCAAATGGAACTCCAACTCCATCGCCTCAGGGAACCCTACGAAGTTCAAGGAAACAATCCCCGGAAAGATCCATAACTCACAACAATGACCAGCTTGGAAATGAATAAACATAAGAGCTAGATACTGCGAAGCAAATAGTTGCTGAGTATGTGAATGAAGCTCTCCAGGCTTTTGTGAGGGGACTACTAACTATACCACCAATGCCTCCTCCAAACAATACGGCAACTGTGGAAAATCCACAATCTGGACTAGCTAATTCCGGAAGTAGAGGCCCTCCAAACGAATCCGTCGAAGGGAGACCAGGTATGGCTAGTAATTCAGATTTACAATCTTTAATACTAATCTTGCAGAAAGAGGCGAAGGAACAAAATAAGGGACGGGGAGAGGGAGGCTCTCGAAACCAAAC